GCTTGGCCTGCTGTGTTCATCCAGCTCTACACCTTATTTGGCTCATCATGCTTGTTCTTGCTTTTCAAAGAGCAAGTGAATTAATCTCAATTCTTTGCCCTTTATCCAATTTATTTTTCTTTTCATGTAATTGTCCAATTTTATTTTGAAAGTAACTTGTGAATTTGCTTCCACTGCCTTTTTAGCCTGTGCATTCCAAGCTGCAACAACTTGCTGCATAAAGGAATTTGTTCTCCTCTCCTCTCGGGTTCTTTTGACAATTACCTTAAATCTCTTTCCTTTGGTTACTGACCTTATTACCAATGGAAACAGTTTCACGTTACTAAGATGTGAGTAAGAAACACAACATTTACAAGATTTTCTGGATCGATCAAAAGACCTAGAATTATGTTTGAGATTTGGTGTGGTCTCTGTGATCATTATGACTACACTAATCAATGTGTTCATACTGAGATCCTGTCTTAGTGGTTGATGCAATCATGTTAAATCAATGTGAAATGGGCTTAAAAATGGAAATACTGCAGGTAGGAATTTGCTGTAACTTGTTAATTAATACACCCCATTAGTAGCAAGTGCAAATAACATTCTGTAAATCCTTAAACACATTTACATAGAAAGAAAAAATACATTTACAAAAGAAAAAGAGTGATTTTGACTTTGTGATAGCAGGAAAATGGGTGATAAAATGTCATTTAGCCATAATGCTGGTGCAAGCTCTTTGAAAGAACTATCCCATTAGGCTACTACCCCGATCTTTCTCAAAAGCCCATCAATTTTTCTCTCCTTTATGCACTTATTTAATTCTTTATCCCAAGTCACGACTGAATCTGCTTGCACTAATTTTAAGTTAGTATGCTTCAGATCAAAATACTCACTGCAAAATATATTTTCATTTCACCTCTTGTTCTTCTGCTGATTATCTTAAAGTTGTATCCTCTGATTACGAAGGTGTTGACTTTGCAAACAATTTATCCTGATGTACTTGTCTAAATCCATTTTGAACTCCTTTACTAAATATCTCCTGATTTTTATTTCCTTTGGAGTCAATGTACAGCAGGCAGCTGGTTCACTAGTACCCTTTTTAAACCTTCACAGAACGTGTGAAGCTCCAGAACTTATGGTTCAATGAATAAAGATACAATTAAATTGTCTTAAGCTTATGTTGAAAGTAGCCAGACTTCATGCTTGCTACATGGTCTACCCTTTATCTGTATCCCATTTTTCTGATTTTAAAATGGCTGTTGAAAGAAATGTGTCTTTCTTCGTCATGCAGGACTGTGTTATTTTGTCTGTCTTTGTGGAATTGTTTCCTGTGTGCCAGTATAACTGTCTTTACGAGATACTGGCCATCTCTTTTATTGTGTGGTATTCGAGTTTAAAGAAGCATCTTGGATTTTTAAGATGATAAGTTTGCATCTTATTACTTTTTTCTCATTACATCTACTGGATACATGAATGCCTTTAGTCCTCTTGTTTATTTGATGTTTTTGCATCAAAATGATTGTTATATCTTTTGGTAAAAAAGAAAAACTGAATAAAAATGAATGCATTATATTAGTACATCAAGAACACTCTGGCATATTTTCATTCTTTTGACTTTACATGTGAATGTTTCTGGTCTTCATCTTACAGAAAGTGTGTACAGGCATTGGAGAAAGTGCAATCAAGTTTTGTAAGGATGATACTAATACTATGAGATTGTAATTATCTGGAAAGACTAAACAGATTGGATCTCTGTTCTCTAGAAAAATGAAGACACAGATGACATTCTAGGGAGTCTTTAAAGTTATGAAAGCATTTGATAAGAAGATGTAGGAAAGCCTTTTACACATTTGTTAGTGGAAAGAGATTTGATATTAGCCTTCAGAAAGAAATTGATAAATGTTTTTCAAGAAAAAATGGGATTCAGGAAAAAGTGGGACTAACTGACTTGTTCTCTGAAAAGCTGGTGCAGACTCATGGGCTGAATAGCATTCTTCAGTATTATAATATTCTATGGTTTTGCATGTGGTGGTGGGGGCAGGGGAAAATCCAAAATTAGGGGATCATGGATAAAATTTAGTCATAAATAAATCCAACAAAGTCAGGAGAGACACTTTACCTAGACAGTAGTTGGCAAGTGGCAATAGAAGTAGTCAAGACAGATAACACAGAATACTACCACCTTTGTTAAGACTTGTGGTAACCTGGAATATCCAGATCTTTCTGACTCCCAATTAGCAAGATTTTGCTTAGGACAGCATCAACTTTACAACATGTACTCATTTCAACAGAAGTAACTGTTTTGCTTCATAATGAACCTTTGGTAAACCTCACCAATTCTCTACGACCCTCTCTTTCCCCTTAGCAAAGGAAACCCTTTAAACTCCATTTGTACCATGATCAGTTAACAACTCTACTATTGTTATATCATGTGATTGCAAAACATGACTGATGTGATTTCAGGACTTATTTCATAATTCATTTTGGACATTTCTATGTCCCGTCCATACACGCATCCACATGCTGTTGATCAACCTGACATAGACATTAAAAAGTCACCCTTTGAAAATGACTCTGCTCAGATGACTCCAAACTAAAAATCAATGAAATAAACTCCCTTCTTCAGATGTCTTCATTGCTCTAAGCATGAATCCAATTACAGGACTGTACATCAAAGCAGAGTAAGAATGCTTATTAGTTGATGAAAGCCAGCCCTCCAAACAGAGGACGCCTTGACTGCTGAGTCGTCTTAATAATGGGCTCCTGACGAAAACTTTAATGATTATCTAACTCTAAGATCCTAGGGCCATGAAATGATTGCATCTTTGAAAATAGAACTTGAAAAAGATGACACCTGTTAACAGCCCCCAGGGGTGCAAGCACTGAGCTGACTAAACAGCAGGTAATATTCTCATCTGTACTGTGTCAGCTTTGACTCAGTGAGTGTCACTT